CCGCCCGCCCCGCTGCGGCCAAAGCCGCCGACCCCGCCGGGGAGCCCGGAGAGCCGCCGGCCCGCGCCGCGCCTCCTAAACGGCTGCGTGCCGCTGTCGCACCAGGTGGCCGGGCACATGTACGGCAAGGACCGAGTGGGTGAGTGCGGCCGTGCCGGCCCAGGGCGGTACCTGCAGTCCCGGCCCCCGGTGTCCCCTCCCGCGGTCCCCGACCCGCGGTGGCGCGCAGAGGCGTGCCGGCTGTCCCCGGGGAGGAGAGGCTGAGCGGAGCCGGCGCTGCTGTGAGAATAGGGAACTTGGTTGCCCTGGACGGGGAAGTGCGTTCTCCCTGGAACCAGGTCTGTTTACCGGGAGCGGCGGGTGCAGAAGCCGGGAGGAGATGCGCCTCGCCGGACTGAGCTGCCGCAGCCGCGTCCTGGAGGCCAGGGAGCCCCGCAGGCGAGCGCAGAGCCCTGACCCCGAGGAGGGTCCAGGGTGGTGATGCCCGAGGCCGGGAGGTGTGGTTCGCCCGCGGAGACCGCGTCCTTGTGGCTGGGCTCCGTCTCACACCGGAGTAGTGCACATACTCGGCGTCCTCTTGCCTTCATTATTGTCCTCTGGCCCTTGTCGTGTTTCCCGAGCTCACGACTTTGAAGCATAGCACAGGGCCTGTTCCAGTGGCTCCCTGGGCCGACGTCAGCTGAACACTACGGGCTTGCAACTTTTGCAGATCTTTGACTTGGAACTAACATTAGAGACAGTTTGCTGGTAAAATGCTTCAGGTTTAGGCTGGTGAGGTAATAGTTTTCCCCCTTTTACTGTGTATGTAGACGTGGGATGGAATCCAAGCCCTCATTTATGCTGGCTTAGTGCATTATTACCACTGACGCACATCCCCAGCCCTCCGTTTCCTTTTTCTTTGAGACAGGGACTTCATAAGTGCCGAAGCTGGCCTCGAACTCACTGTAGTCCAGGCAGGCCTTGAACTTTCAGGCTTCCTGAGTAGCTAGACTCACAGGCCACCACGTAATACATTTTAAAAGGAAGCCGAGTTAAGTGACATCCTAAAGTCATGTAGATACTCTGTACTAGAGTTGGAAACCTTCCCCCAATTTTGCCCCCCTCCCCATATATTGTGCTTGCAGAAAGTACACAGATTGAAACTCGGTGTCCTTAAGGAAACATTGAGAGTAATACATCAGAGTTAATAACTGTGCACTCGAAGTACTGGGCTGGGACATTTCCTCCTGTGTGTGGTATCTGGAATCACTTTGCGAGCACTGGAGGAGTTAGCTGCCAACAGAGACATGCTATGATGACTGGAACAAGAGACTAAGCCATTATGGCTGTCTGAAGGCCTAAAGGATGGTCTCCCCAAGGGGTCCTGGAGATTTCACATGCAAAGGAGAACAAACCCAGATCCCAGCTAATCCTCACAGTATGTGATGATTGCCACTTACGAAAGTGGTACCCACTGCTATGAAAGTTGTATGAGTGACCTATCTAGAGTTATTGATGACTGATCACAAAGTACCCTGAATTCCACTATTACAGTATCTGAAAGAGCTAATCTGTCATCCACATGCCTAACTGAAAGAGTAATTTAGATTTCAAAGAAAGTATTCCTTAATTTTAGCATTGTATTTAAGATTTATTTTCAATTTTGTAATATTCTTATGATTACCAAAGACCAAAGGCTTCCAGCAAGTTGTGGTAGCAACCTAGTATTTGTTGATTTCAACTATCAGATACTTAGATGGTAGGTAGTATCTATATTGCTAGTACTATAAAAGCTGGCTGACTGATGATGATCTTTCATGCTCATAAATGGGTAGCAAGATAGTAATTCAAAGTTCCCATCGTAGATAACATACAGTGCTTAGCTCGTGCTCTGCCTGCTGACATGGTCCTCAGTAAACTTTGAAAGACATTGCATATATTTTTGTACTCCTTTTGAACTTCTGTTACTATCATTAAGTAACTAGTATTTTTCATTTCAGGATTGATTTTACTTGAATTTAGTGTGGTTAATGGAAAGAATATATTAGTATTTATTTTTTTAAATGTTTTATTACTTTTATGTGTATGGGTGTATTGTCTGCATGTGTGTGAGTGCACCTGTGTCGTGCAGTGCCCAGAAGAGTATCCGATTCCCCTGGAGCTGGAATTACGGGTGGTTTGTAGCCACCATTATGGGTGCTGGGAATCGACCCTGGTCCTCTGCAAGAGCAGCCAGTGCTCTTAACCAATGAGCCACCTCTCCAACCCCCATATTAGTATTTCTGATACCAGTTATATTTTACATTCTTCACTGAAGTAATATCAAAGTATATTTAAAACTTAGTTCTAAGGTTGCAAAATGTTTGGCTCCTTAAAATTATAAATATGGTTCATGATCTTTTAGGAAAGACGTTAAGTACAATTCTGTTCCTCTACTGTCATTATCCCAGGGTTAATCACTGGTAACACCTTTCTGTGTAACCTTAGGGGTTTGTTTCTGGACACATGCATAAACACATTAACACCATGCTGAACTTGTATACAGATAGTCTGTTTCAATCTGTGCTGTGCCATCTAGCAAAACTGTGCTTTTGTACTTGATGGTGTGTAGGTGCTCCTTGAGTGATGGTGGGTGCCAAACTTTGCTAAGAAGACTCTTAGTGGTGATCTGGTGGCCTAGTGGAAGCTTCACTTCGCCATACTTCAGTCTTTTTAAAAATGATTGTATTCTGGGGCTCAGTGGTTAAGAGCACTGGCTGTTTTGCAGGAGACCCAGATTCAAATCCCAGCACCCACATGACAGCCAACGACCATCCTTAGCTCCAGTTCAGGGGATCCGACTCCCTCTTGTGTCCTTGGCAGGCACTGCACAGCACAAGTGCATTAGCACACATCCGGGCATAGCATGCTCATACACATAAAATAAAAAAAAAAATAAATTTTCAAAATGGTTGCATTCTACAGAATGGATGTATCAAAATGTGCTTAATTATTCCTCTCGTTATATCTATGTGTCTCTATATCTTTCACCCTTTTTATTGATAAATAATACACTAAGCATTGTTGAACATCATAGCATACCTTGCACATTGTTGAACTGTTTCTGTAGGAAAGTTCACAAAAGTATAATAGCTACACTCAAGTTTAAATCCTCAGAGTTCTCAAATGTTTGCATCCATCCTTTTCTGTTTTCATGTTTTAATACACATCACTAGTTTCATTTAAAGGCTCTTAGGATTTTAAACAAGTAGGTTCAGATATGAAATTTGTGCCTTGATCACATTTAGTGTGTAGTAATGAGGTAGTCTGTGGGGAAAATGAGGATTTAAACTGGTACCATGGTGGGGACACACACAGCTGTTTTACATTATTGGTCTGTCCTCACTGTGGTTAGTAGACAGTACTGTGGACCTTACAGAAGAGATGTAGCAGTGGCGAGAACTTGGTGTTTCTTCAAGTGTGCTCTGTCCTCCCCATGAACCTTCCCTCTGTACAGTTGGTAAGAAGGTTGCATAGATCTTGATATTTATGCAACGATGCTCCATGTAGATTTCTTAAGAACAGGGTTGCCTTCGGGAGCCACAGTGTACATCCTAAATGTGGGACATTGTACGGTGGTACAGTATTTTAGTCTGTGCCCCTTATTGTCATTTTGTTAAAATAGCATGTCTTAGACCTATGATCACCCTCAGCATCTAGTTGTGTCTTGCTCTTCTTTAGTTTGTAACACACCAGCCTTTGTCTTGAATGACACTGACATTTTGAAGAATACAGGCTACATATTTTATGAAAAGTTTTCCAGCCCGAGTTTATAATGGTTCCTTAGGATGAGATTCAGGTGGTACATGTCTGGCTGGTGCACTATATAGGGTACATTTGGGGGCCCACAGGGTCTGACCCTTATATTAATAGTTAATCTTGATCATTTGGTCCAGGTGTGGTCTGGCTTCTCCACTGTGTAGTTAATATTTTATCCCTGTGAGGAATAAGCTGCTCGTGGGAGACACTTGAAGAGCCTGCTGGCATCTGGATTGTTGTCACACGCCCTCCCAGATTTTGGTGTGTTGATTGTTCTTGCCTGAAGCAAGAATCATGCTTTTTTGAAAGCTTGCTTTTCCCTCCCTGATTGTACCACGGCCACTAACAGTCAGTGCTCTGCTGTGAGACCCTTCTTTTGCTCCTGTGCATGCGTGTCCTTATTCATGGGCTGGGCTCGTGTGTCCGTATTTTGTGATGGGTCACAACCTGCTGCAGAACTTTGTTTTCTGCTGCTCACGTTGTCCTGAACTCTCCAGCCCCCATAATTTACATTTTTTAAAATTTATTTTTATGTTTCTTGAGTATTTTTCCTGTATGCATGTAAGTGCACCCATGCCTGTAGTGCCCACAGAGGCCATAAGAGGTCATCATATCCCTGGTACTGGAGTTACAGATAGATGGTATTGGTATCGCCAGCGTATTGATGCTGGATCCGCTGCAAGAGCAGCAAGTACTCTTAACCCCTGAGCCATCTTCTCGAGCCCATTTGTATTTTAAGACGTCGTCTCACTTTGTAGGGAAAGCTGGCTTGGAGCGCCTGTGTACTCCAGGCTGGCTGTGGCCTTATGGCAATATGGGCATTAGTCCCACACCTGGCTTTTACCACTTTTTAAAAGACTGTGATTGATTTTTTTTTTTTTTTTAAGAGGCAAGGTCTTCCCATAGCCCCAGCTGCCCAAACTTGCTATATAGACCAGGCTGACCTCGATCTCACAGAAATCTGCCTGCCTCTGCCTCTTGAGTTCTGCAACTAAAGGCATGTGTCACCATATCTGGATAATTTTTTTTTGAGACAGTGTCACGTAGCCCAGGTTGGCCTTGAAATTATTATGTGGCCATATGACCTCGAACTCTTGATCCTCCTGCCTAAACCTCTCAGCCTCCTAAAACCTTAGATTAAAGTTAAATGCTACCATACCTGATTTATGCAGTACTGGGGATTGAATACTACATAGGCTTCCTGCAACCGGGCAGTCACTTACCAGTACAGCTGTATCCCTGGCCCTGTGATGATCTTTTTCTGACATTATGGTCTATACTTTTTTCTTCCCTTGCTGGTGTTGTAGAAATCACAACATGATTGTGATTGGTCATACAGAGTTGGTCCCAGCACTTGGGAGA